GGTTTAGAACCTCAGCTCTTGTATCCTTAGGCCTGCTCACTGTCTGCATTTATTAGGCCCACCTGCCACCCAGGCTGCCTCTATACAGAACATGGAGACCAAAATTGCTGTCTTTTAAGCCAGTGAATCTCTACTGCAGCAGCCAAATGATTCTCTCTGTTTCCAGATCCATGCCAGGAGTTGTGCCCCCTCCCCCCCGGCTACCTATGCCATTTCAGAAAAAAAGTGAGCTTCTCTAATAAGAAGCAGGACTAACATGATGCATCACTGCAGGGCGCTGGTGAGATACATGAGGATTAGAAAGGTTGCAAGCACAAGCTGGGGAGGCTGAAACTGGTTCTGAAGTGTCAGTCATTAATCATCTCACACACAGACTGCAAATGCCAGTAACACTACTTAGTCAGAGCTGTCTGTGTTCTGAAGACCCTGCAAAAGACAAATGGGTTATATCTCTGCTAGGCAGCCAGTGTGAGGCTGCTGATGGGAGTGAAGGTTGGCCTGCTGGAGTTCAAGGCTCATTGTGTTCAAAATGATGCAGAGGGACCCAGTGCACATTCACTGGACATTCACAAGCGGTGTGTTGTGTTTGATCTCTTAGTGCTTGCCCCAGGCCTTACTGTCAATGTCACCAGTGCCAACCCTGCTCCTCTTATGTAGGATCACTTTTGCCACATCCTCCCCTCTCTTTTTGAGTTATATGGGTAGTTATGCATTACCAGACTTGTCTGAGATGTCTCTCTGTAGCTTAGGCTGCTGGTATTTTGTCTTGCCTATGTGACTGGTTCACTGGATTTCTCACTCTGCAGTGAACTTGTCCTGTGCCATACTTTGATCATGTTATTCTATCAGCATCACAGCCTATTACAACTTGCACGGATGCTTCTACCACTTGCACTGAAAACTCAGACTCATTTCCTGTAAACATCAGCCTGAAACTCCTGATTGTCAAATGATATCAAAGCCCCAGATGGATCACAAAACTCCAGAAGGAATCCTGGTACTAATCTACACATGGAGGCTAGCCTGATTCCTGCTCTGACCATGGAGGAAGCAAGGTTTGTGAGGTGTAAGTGTAATGATAGCTTTCATTGGTATGTATAGTTGTGAGAGAAGTTAGATAAGCATTTTAGCACAAAATGTCCTTCCTCAGGTAGGTCCTCAGCACAGAGAGGTGCTTTTAAATAATGGTACTATAGTTTTACAAGTATATTTCCAAGGCTTTTGGATGCATGGAGGATGCCCAAGATTTCACAACATCTCAGCTGGATACCTGGGAATCCAATGTGCTGAACTCAGCACCCTGAAAATTCTGCACCATTTTGACTGCAAACATTTAAAGACCAAAATGATGCCATGTTGAAAATGTGATTGCTGATCTTTAATATTATATCCTTCCTTCCCCCATCCTCTTCTTCTCAGGTGGTTTGGGTGTTTTAAGCTATTTCTAACCATAGTCTTTCAAAACTAGGTCAAGCAACTGTATGTAATGGTCAGGATGAAAACCATGCTTGCTCATCATAACACACATTTGGAAAAAGAATAGCTTTGGTCTGCGGGTACACCTTAGCATTGCCTCTTGGGTTATGTCAGCACAAGCTGCATTCGCTGTAACAAAGTCCTTTCAGCGAGCTGGTTAAATGTCAGCAGAGAATTATTATTTCCACTGCAGGCAGCCTCATCAACCCAGGAGAGATCCCAGGCTCGGAACTTGCCTTAAATGAGTCTCACTCCAGTCAAAGTGAAAAACCTCCTTGCATAAACAGCTGTGTAGCACAATCTCACGGAATTTCCTGTTGCTGTGTCCCAGTAGAGTTAACCTTTGTAAACCCAATGGGGCTGCCTTGCACACTGTGAAGAAGTACTACCTGTTACCTCAACAGAATAACAGATCCACTTTTATGAGAACTCAATTCAGCATTTCCTGTAGAGATTACTCTTCACCTCCTACCTTGCTGGGAGAGCAGCATACATGGGCCAGTGGAAAGTGCTGCAAGAAGCCATTTAAGTCAAGTTACATCACAGTGATATTTCCCTATTAAAAAATGCCACACATATGGTGGAAAAGTAGTTTGTAATTGAGAGTGACTGGGACATGATGGAGCCAAGGATGTAGTGATAAGATTTTGATAGGTATATTGTTTGAGCATGTGCCATAGAACTGACAAGTGAGATTCCTGGTAACAGCCAAATTGCCCACAAAGAATCTGACACTGAATCTGCTAACAGGAAAGCTCCCTACCCTGAAGAGCATGTGTCCTGAAAAGGGTGCAAACTAGGGTTGGAAAGTAAAAAAGTCTTGGACAAAAGCAGCCAGTAAGTTCAAAGTATGCTGCTGGAGTCCCAGTGTGGCTTGAAAAATCATGTTGCTCTAATGGGTGTAGTTTTGCCTGTTCGTGTTTCATATGTAGTTGACTCACAGAATTTCCCCTTTGTTACTTAGCTAATTAACTCTTACGGCTAGATTTGCAGAGCTGACAGATAGTCTGAATCCTCCATCATCCTAAGGAAGCCCCAGAGACCTGGAGATGACATATCTGGCCTTCATTATTAAAGGTATTATTAATTTCAGACCCCAGTTAACCTAGTTCCACATAAACCTGCTCTTCCCTGTACTACAAACATTGCCCCCCCCCGTCCCCTGCCCCCCCGGACTGCTCAGGGAACAGCAACACGTTTTTGCTGAGCAGCTGTGCTGAGCACTGTCTCCTAGAGGAAGCTTTCATGTGGTAGACAGTGATAACATTTGCTCTGTCACTGCAACATCAGGGGCAAGCTAGGGTAAGGGCAGACTTCCCACCAGCTGTGCTGATACTGTAGAAGCAGAAAAGACAACATCATGATCCATATCTAATATAGGTAAACATGAGGGATGAAATCATGGCTCCCTTTTCACATCAGTGAACACTTACTCATGGGAGTCAGTCCACTGAAATGCGATTAGTGTTAGGGGTTCACTATCTGGCTCCAAACAATTATTCTTTTCCTCCTGTCTGCTCTTCGGATGGCAAAAGAGCATTTTGTGTGAGGTTTTTTATAATGAGAAGAGGTGGAAGTCTGGTAGAGGCTAGAGAGTCCAGAACCCAGTGACAAAAATGACTGAGAACTTGGAAAGCAAGTTATAGGAGAAAAGGCTGAAGGAGCTAGGCATGTTCAGCTTGTAGAAAAGATACTTAAGAGAGGACATGATAACAGTTTTCAAACATCTTTATGGCTGCCGTAAAGAAGAGGAAAAGTACTTTTTCTCTCTTGCTGAAGGAAGGATGAGGCTTGAATTTGCAGCAAAGTAGGTTTAAGTTGGATATTAAGAAAATTTCTTCACCGTTAGAACAGTGAGACAGTGGAATAGGCTGTCTAGGGAAGTTATGGACTCTCCATCACTGGAGGTGTTCAAGAAGAGGTTGGACAGCCACTGGTCAGGGATGATATAATTCTATGGCTGTGTTCTACTATGGGTATTTCCCACGCTTCTCAGCTTTGCTGGTCAGCCCCATCCCCACTTTCTGCTACTTGTCAGGGTGTTTTTAAGCCTCCCTCAGAAGCACTGGGTGTTGGCTGCAGCCATGGCTGGGGGCTTCGACTGAGGTTAGCCAATGTTCCTGCTGGGACCAAAGCTAGAGGATCCTGGATAGAGGGTCTTGCACCACTGCTCAGGATCAGACCAATTGCTGTATTTGGAAGGAGGGATTTTTACCCCATGGTCAGATTGGTACAGATGTGGGGGTTTTGCCTTTCTGTATAGCAGGGAGTGTGGCCCTCTACCTGGGATCTCTTGTCACTATTTTGACAATCTTTTATAGAAGCAGGACATTGGCTGCTGTGGTTCCCCTGCTTTACTTGTGGCTGGTTAGGGTCTTATGTCTTGTGTTGTGCTGGAGTTGACAGTAGGCTTACAAAGAGTTTAAATTCTGGACTATATAGGATGGTTTGGACAGGAATGATGCTGCCTCAGGCAGGGGGCTGAACTCAATGACTTCAGGAGGTCTCTTCCAGCCCTACTTCTGTATGATTTTACTGGTAACTGTCATGCATGACAGCTGGGGCTCCGCTAAGAAGCAATGGGTTCAATCGCTCCCAGGAGATGGTTTTACAACTCCCAGGTATGGCAGATGGCACTGATTCTCTGCCTAATGAGAGCAGCAGTCACGGGGGTCTCTCTAGAGAAGCAGCAGAATGACTGATCTGAAGGAAAAAAACACAGCCAGATGCAGTGAGCCCAGCAGAGCCAGTTTTGTTTTTCTTCTTTGCATTTCTAAGAGGAAAACAAAACCGTCAGGGCCTGTGGAAAGAAAATGTAAAACCAGTGAGGAAATTAACTTGCAGAGCAGTGGCACAGTGTAAGAGGAACACCTGTAGAATAGAAACCTAGGGACCAGGTCCCACTTCTGCCTGCTCCCTGCCCAGCCCAGCCCTGCAGGCGTGCAGCGCCCCCTGCGCCTTCCTGAAGCACAAATTAGAAACAGCGTCGCCAGGTCTTAACTATGAAATTATCATACTGGGAGCTCAAAATTACCATATTTGCTGAAAAACTATACTACACTGAAAAAATATGCAAATATAAATGCAAATAATCTTCTTGTTTATTTTACATTGCTCACTATAACTAGCCAGTGAGTGAGCACATGGTCATCAGAGCTGAAGCATTTTTTTATTTCGAGGTAAGCAGCCACAAGAAAGTGCTGACAGCAAACCCAAAAGTCTTTAAGGCTCCCTGAGAATAACTTGGGTTTTGCATATGCTGCATCAATGAGCTGCCTCAAAAATTACCGTACATTTCGAACACTTTGACTGTTACTGATTCTACATCATACAAGGGTTGAAATGATCGTACAAATACAGTCATTACCGCGCACCTCGCAACATGACCAGAAAGAAAGGAGGCAAGAAGCGGGCGGCGCGGACGGGGCAGCCCCGCGGATCTCGGCGCGCTGCGACACGCCCCCCCCGCCAGGCCGGGCCCTGGGATCG